GATAGGTTCTGAGACATATATGTCTGCTCTGAGATTATAAACCATGACTGAGATGTTGCAAAGTTCTCAGACTTCAGCATCCTGGAAATAACCTACATCAGTAACTTCCTCCTGAATTCCCTGAGTGTCTCAGCTTGCAATTGAAAAAGACAGCATGATGAGTAATATTTCAAATTGTATCAATTGACCCATGATTTTTGTACATCAGAGAATGCTTCATGAAAGACAGTAGTGCACTAGGTCGGAACCACCAGCAGCATGTGCAGAAATCCAACTGAAAGGCACAATGGAAGACGAGGCCTGATACGTACCAAGTTCCAGCAAGACAGCAGGTGGTGGTGTGGAAATGGATTAAAGGAGCACACAGGCGATGCGTATCCAAAGTATATTCTCCTCCAAGTGGGTTTTATGGTTCAGTTAAACACAGTTGTGGCAACTGCCATAAATATAATGTTGTTGTTTTACTGTTGCAATGTTTACAACCTGCTACATTAGGTGCTCTGTTTCAAGGCTTCTAAAAGCAGGTCTGAATTCCTTAAAGGAGAGTGGGACATGTTGGATGGCTAGGTGAGCAATAAAGGAAAGAAGACAATCTCTCTCTGAAATGACAAAAAACACCTACATTGCACTTCTTGTCACATGTGGTTCTGGGCTAAGTTCTTAAACTTAGAGAACCAAGGTGGCTCCTGATGTTGAAATAATGAGGCCCTTTCTGCCAGTGTCCTGCTGCAAGTGGCCAGCCACTCTGATCACTAACTGTGCTAGCTAATGGCCCCAACTATGTCCATGGGTATTAGAGTCAGGTAGTCCTACATTTGAACCCTGGTTTCTCTACTGACTAGCTATGTGGTTTCAGGCAAGTTGATTAACATTTCCAATCTTTGTGCCTTTATCTGTAACCCTGGATCATGCTACTACATGCAGGACTTTATAACTCTATGCACAGTCCACGGCACAGGGCTGCACAGAACTAGGGCCCTGCACATCAGCAACAGGAAAATACACCATCCCAGCAGCATTGGGAACCACTGAAGGATTTTTCTTACAAAGATCTTCTTGGCATAATAAGGAGGTAACATTTGCTATGTACTAAGCAGGTTGCATTCTTACTGAATTCCATTAATTAGCCAATTTAATCCTCACAACACCCCTAACAAGGCGGGCTTAATTATTTATTTATGATGGTTTTATAGAGGAAGACTCAAAGAAGAAGTAGTTATATTACTATATGCCAGGTTACTCTACAAGCAAGGGGTGGAGTCAGAGTTTGTGCCCAGGCTTTCTGGCTCCAGAATTCATGCACATAACCTCCGCATGTACTTCTGTATTAGCATGTCATTTAAAAAATAAGGAAAAGTAGGAACCAGCAAGTGGCATAGGGGTTAAGGCACTGGACTCCCACATGGTCAATAAAGGTTTGAGATCCAGACATGATAGTTTAAAACTCATGCCAGGTACATGTGCATGCCCAAAATCCCAAGAGAAGAATGGAGAAGGGATCCCTGGGGGAGGGGGACAGGAGGGTGGTGATTTCTCACTTTTCCTCTCTCTGTCTCTCTCACTTAGCCAACTGGGGATCAGTATAGATGTCAAATACACATCTATATATATATGAGGGGGTCTTCAAAAGTTCATGGAAAAGGCATTATTCTTTAAACACTATGCATGGATTTCAAATGATTTTGCACCAGGTGAACAAAAATGCCCTTCCCTCTGTGCCCCAACACTGAAATGGTAACTTTCCCTAGCACTAGTGTATAATCTCTTGCCAGCAAGTAAATTCATACTTTGCATTTTTCCACAAATTCTTAAAATCCCCTTATGTATATTTGTGCATATACACACACACCTACACACAAACACACACCCGTGTGTATGTATATGCCAAAATTGTGTTCCTAGCCTAAAGGGACTGAAACAAGTAAACTAGCTGTTGACACTGGCAGTGCCATCTTCACATGGCAACCTGAAATTTAGCAAAGGAACATCCAGGGTAGTTTCCTATGATCCCTCTGGCATCACCATGCATCAACCAGTAAGACCAGAAACCAGAAGTCACTCTGAATTCTCCTAATTCTGCTTGTCCGAAGCTCCATTCACATTCTCTAGACCCACAGATTTTACTTGCTAGATTTTTCTTGAAATCATATGTTCTTGTTCTTGGCACCACTATTTTCAGCGTAAGCATTTATCTAAAACAAGCTAAAATTCCTTTTAGATTGCTGGTGAAGACTGACCTTTCTCCCTGACAATGGTATTGCCCACCTCCACCTTCAAGAAATTCATTTTTCTCATTGTCATTGAAAAATTATTCTTAAACACAAATCTTACGATGTTGAACTTCTGCATAAAGTCCTCATGTCTACAGCATGAAGTACAAACTCCTTATTAAGGCACAGAAATCCCTTTATAATCTGATCATTTCCTCTCTTCCCACTCCCCAGGTGTCACCACGCACGCATTGACAGATGCTGTTTCTTCTGATTGAAAAGCCTTTTCTCTGCTCCAAACCCTCCCCCAGAGCTTCCACCCTCTGTAGTCTTCATTTGGAAAAGCCCTGCTCAATTATAAAGGCTTAACTTAAACATCACCTCCTCTGGCAAGTCTTCAGTGATTCTCCCAGGTGAACAAAGATGCCCTTCCCTCTGTGCCCCAACACTGAAATGGTAACTTTCCCTAGCACTAGTGTATAATCTCTTGCCAGCAAGTACTGTGCATACACAATTATAACCTCTTCCCTAGAACACTCTTGGCACGTAGTAGGAGCTCAAAAAGTATTTACTGTATTATTATAGCTCCATCGTTCTGCAACAATTAGTTGTTAATGTGTTTGCCTTCTCCACAGGCATGTGTACCTGAGAGTTCAAGGTAACCTCTATTGCTTCTCTGTATCCCAATACCTGTCCCAGTGCCTGGAATAAAGGTAGTGCTTGATGTTTGTTGAATGAACAGAATGTACAGACAAATAAATCAATAAAGCACAAGGTCTCTGGGATTTCTTTTTCTGTCATCACAGTCTAAACCTACAGTTTCAATCGTGTTTAGGAAGTACCCTCGCCAGAATGCAGACCAGCTAGAGGTGCCATAAGAAAACAAACTGGATTCCAAGAGACCGCAAGGTGCATTATTTGCATGTGTCATGAACGTAAATAAAAATACTTCTGTGTGAAACCCCTGTTTTAATTTGGGAAAACAAGAGCTTTTACAGGCTAGCCATTTAGTCATGTTTCTTCAGCAAAGGGAACTTGGAAATGCTATGATTTAATGTGTGGTCTAAAAAAGGTAGAAATTCCACTCCGTGGAGGGTTTATGGAAAACTCATTTTCACAACTGCTCCCGGTAACTTTCACATTTATTCCATCTCCCCACGAGCTGGGTCTTACGATCACCACTGTTGCTGAGGAAATGAAGACAGTTTCCAGTTTTAGAGCCTTCCATGATGTGGCAGACTCTGTGGGCCTATGTTAGGTCAGGGTACGAGTGGACCAAATATGTCTGGTTATGTCATTCAAGCTTGACGGTGACAGACTATCTCATGGAAAAGGTGCCCCGAAAGGGGCCCTCAGCTCCTGAAAGAGCCTTTGGTACATCTACCAAACATACTCCTGCTCCCCTCAATACCTGAGCTGGCTGTGGAGGCAGCTGAGTCATTCAGTCTCTTTTACTTTGTTGAACCTACTGTGTGCATTTACTCTGCCAAGCACATGATTTCTGTGGTAGCGAAAGGCATGACTGGCCCCAAAGGACAGATGATGCACCAAGCCCATGAGTTACTCCTGGCAGCAGACTGCTCAACTAGATCACAATGATGTTCTGGAGGAGACATTTAAGGATAAGGAAAATTTGTTTGTTTGTTGTTGTTGTTGTTTGCCATAGAGTGCATGCACTTACCGGAGAGACACAGAAAGAGGGAAAGTGAGAGATAACCGCCAGATTGAGAGGGAGGGCCACGTGCAATCTTCTTTCTTCCATCCTCCTCTTTGGATTTTGGGCACTTGCACTCCTCCATCCTCCTCTTTGGATTTTGGGCACATGCACCGGACACGATTTTCAAGCTGTCAGGTCCGGGACTTGACCTGCCCAGTCAGCCATGTGGGATCCAGCCACCTTAATCTCTACGTCACCTGATGGACCAGGATAAGGGAATTTTAAATATTAGAAAATTACGAGACCAGCAGATGGCATAATGGATATGTCTCTGGACCCCCATGTAGTCGACTGCTGTTCGAGTTCTGGACCCGGTGGCTTAAACTCATACCAGGCGCATGTACATGCGTGCCCAAGATCCTGAGAGGAGGATGGAGGAGAAGGGATTGCAGCATGGCCATCCCCACAGGGGGGTGATTTCTCACTTTCAGTCTCTCTGTCGCTCTCTTTCTGGTGAGCGCATGCACCCTATAGCAAAAACCTCTCCAAAAAAAAAAAAAGAATTAGAAAATGGAATGTTTATGGAATGTTTAACTTTCAAATTAAAATGTTGAGTTACAAATGTGTGAATATATTATTGTTATATACACACATATATACAAACAGATATGCACATAGGCATAGTAAAAAGATGGCAGGGCCAGCCAGTTAGCCTTGTGATTAAGGGAGCCAGATTCCATATGGCCGATCGTGGTTTTAATCCAGACTTCAGCAGCTTGTAAAACAGACCAGACACGCCTGCATGTGTGCCCCAAATTGCAGCAGGATGGAGAAATGGAGAAGGGATTGCAGTGCGACTGGGAGATGCTTTTCCCTTTCTCTCTCTTTTCCGGCACGCACACACGCTCTCTGGCAATTAAACTCAAACCAATCAAAAAACAGGATTGCAAATGTGCCTAACAAAATGTATCAGTGATTTTTTTCTATCAGAATGAAAATACGGTTGATTTTTCAAGTCTTCCACAGACTGTTAATATTTTAAATATTTGCTACATGCACATACATGCTTTTACTATCATACTAAAAATATTTTTTTAAATAAAAATGTTTTGTAAAAAAAAATAAAAAGAGCTGTTCTTGCTTCGGCAGCGCACATGCTAAAAATTGGAATGATACAGGGAAGATTAGGATGGCCCTGTGCAAGGATGACGTGTAAATTTGTGAAGCGTTCCATATTTTTGATTAATTAGGTGAGTCTGAACTAGTGAAATAGAAGTTTTTTACTTTAGACTAAAACATTACTGATTTTCTTCGATGCTTTGATTTCCACATTTAAGGATTTTTGTCTTCTCTTGAACTGTTGTTAGGTTCATCTACCTACTAATTGAACTGTATCCTAACCTTTTCCCTGGCTTTAAGTTTTAAGCAAATTTCTCTTAACATTTTTATCTATTAAAACTGAAACTTTTTTTAAATTAAAAAATGCATTGAAAAAATGTTTTTAAATAAAAAGAGCTATGAAGTGTAAAAATAGTCCTGAGCAGGGGGAGAAGAGAGAGATCAAACACATGCCTCCCATGTTGGTGACATGATGTTCTCCTTCTCTTTCCTGTTAGGGCCAGGATCACTGAGACTTATTCATCCCCAACATGTGGGATATGAGCTTCCAGGAGAAATCAGCCAAGTTGCTTGGTTGATTTGGAAAGCCTTATTTCCTGAATTCTCAGACCTTCCCAGTTTGACAGATCAGAGCATAGTCATTGCCAATAGCTAGATCCTCGAGCTCTGGAGTCACAACTCCCACCCCAGCCTGGGCACATAGAGAGATTTTGGTTCCCGTGAGATTTGGTATCTCTGCAGTGTAGCGTTGGCTCCCAATCAGGAGGTGGAGGTAGGGCTGTCAGTGGTCAGAAATTAGAAATTCACCCCGATGGACCCTAGGGCAAAGGGCTTTACACTTCATGGCCTCTTAATAGTGAGCAAAAGACACCAGGTCTAGACTTAATTCCCTTTGACATCATGAAAAAGAAAACATATCTTTCCAGCAAAAGAGCTGAGTGGTAGAAGGAACAGGGCCAAGGATGTGACAACGCCAAGATCTGTTTCATCCTTCCAGAGGACCATAGATCTGCTCTTAGCAAAAAGTCATGAGTCTATTCATTCAGTAAAATTTGCTTAGTCTCTGCAACAACTTGGGCTCTATGCTAGGTTTGGGAAACAAAGGTAAAACATGGCGTGTGCTCTGAAGACTCACTGCTACAAGTGAAGTAAGCTTAGAAAGGGATCCAATACAATATTATCTGCAGGAGTGAACTGACCTTGATGGGGACCAAGGGGAGAGGGTGATGTACTATAAGCTACCATTAGCAGGTTTGAGACAGCAGGACAGCCCCCATCCTCCTGGGATTAACCAGAAAGATAAGATGACAAGCAGTTAGATCTCACAGTTCACACTCATTCGAAAACAAGCCAGTTAGAACTATCAAGAGATTTGTCTGCATAGAGACTATTTTCTAGAAAATTCCACTTTACAACTGGTGAATGCAAAAAAATGATTCAAACTAATTGCCAGAACACTTTTCTAGCAAAGATTCTATTAGTATAATATTTGATAGGAATGGAGGTCGGAAGAATGAAAATATTCACTGTACTATATTATCTAATTTATTGAGTCGTCAGGAAAGGCGTATTTTTCTGTTTTTCTATGCAAACGTGTCATATTGACATCTTAATCTCAGTGCTCTGTAACCTAGTGGCTCTCAGCCTTGACTGTACATTGGATTAAGTCAAGGTCGTTTTGGAAAATACCGATGTCAGGCTCCATCCAGAACGCTTGGTTCAGAATCTCTGGAGCATGGGGATAGGCCATATTTTTAAAGTTCCCTGAGTTATTCCACTCTGTAGCCAGGGTTGAAAAAACAAATGGAATCCTTACCAACCAATCAACAGCAATGCTTTCTCTTTCTTTTTTTTTTTTTTTTAGAGAGACATTTTTGGTGAGTACATGCTCACCAGAGAGACAGAAAGTGAGAAATCACCCCCCAAGAAAAGATGGTCACACAGCAATACCTTCTCCTCCATTCTCCTCTCAGGATGTTGGGCACACATGAATCCTGCATGAGTTTTAAGCTGCCAGGTCTGAGACTCGAACTGTGGTCAACTATGTGGGAGTCCTGCGAAGTAACCATTAAGCCATTTCCTGGTCCCCATAGCAATCCTTTCAAAAGGTTTATGTCCTGGATTGTTGGCTAGCATGTTGTAGGTTCAATATAATCCTTGATTATATCATTTTCTTAGTCAATAGTTAAAGGTGTCTACTTGTCATCAGCCCAGATCAACCTACCACTGGTATTGAGAAGCCCAAAGTAATGTCTTTATTCTATAGTATGAGGAAAATTTTATAAATGACACACATGTAAGTGCAATAAAAGTGTAAAGGTCGAATCGTAGCTTACGTTAAATTTGGCTACC